ATATATGTGTGTGCGCGTGTGACTTTCTGCTGCTCACTACTAAAATTCTACATTTGGAGTTAGTGCATTTCCCACCACTTATTGGAGGTGCATTTCTCAAAGGCTTAATATCCTTGATGCCTCAGTCTCCCATCCTGAAATATTTGGAAAATACCTATAGTGTTTTGTAAAAACGTTAAGTTTTGTATGCAAAAGAGATGGGACATTGATAAAGGGTAGCTATTGTACATAAATATATACAATAATTGATATTTTTAAGTTTATCAAAATACATATTTTTGAAAATTCATAGCAGTTTTTCTCATAGTCCCAAACTGGAATCTCATGATCACCCATTAGCAGTACAATAGAAAAATTATTTTAGGATCACAAATAAAATACTACTTAGCAATGATAATGAGCAATCTATAATTACGCCCATCGGTATTGATGAGTCTCACAAATACAGTATTATATTGAATGAAATTAGGCATTATAGAAACATATTACAGGATCCATTCTCATAAAGTGTAAAAACAACTCACCTATAGTGTTGGAATCAGGATAGACCACCATGGTTTGACTATGGTTAGTGTCTATAACTGTGTTAAAGGCTTGGTCCCCAGGGTGTTGATGTGTGAAGGTGGAGAAACCTTGAGAGGTGGGGCCTATTGGGAGGTTCATAGGTTTGGGGGTGTGCCCTCCAAGAGGACTGTGAGACCCTACTCTCTCTCCCTTCCGGTTGTTTGTGATTGCCATCTAGTGCCCTCACCAGAAGCCCAAAGAAATCAGCTGCCCAGTTTTGTCCTGGAACCAAACACACACACACACACACACACACACACACACACACACACACACACACACACACCACGAGCTAAAGGAACATTTTTCTCTTTATAAGAAAATCCCCTGAAGTGTTTAGTTGTGGTCATGGGAGGGTGACTACTACAAGCACATTTGGGGGAGGGGGAAATGCCTGGAGCAGTTTTTGGCCGCTGGTAACGATCTGTTTCTAGGCCCTGGGCCCATGCGACAGGGATATGCGTGTATGCATAACGCCGGGTATGTTGGGCTTGTGAAAATTCACTGAGCCATACATTTGGGATTTGGACTTTTGTATGTAAGTCAGCTATGGTTTGAACGTATCCCTCCAAGTCTGTATGTTGGAAACTTAATCCTCATTGTTAAGAGGTAAAGTATTTAGGTGGGATTTACGAGCGAGTAATGCCCTTATGTCAGGGGTAGGTTAACTATCCCAGTAGTAGATTCCTCTTAATGAGTTTGCCCCCCTCCCCACGCCAGAACTGAACCCAGAGCCTGCCTGGTGCACAGGCTCTACCACTGTGCTACACCCCCCACCCTCCTCCTTCCTTTCTTGCAAGCTCTCCTGCCCTCTCTCTGTGGTATGATACAGAGAGAGGGGCCTCACAGCAAGTGGGCACCACCAATTTGGACATCCCAGCCTCTTTAAAACTGTAAGAAATGCATTCCCGTTCTTTACAAATTCCTTGGTATCAGGTACTCACAAAGCAGCATAAAAACCATCCAGGAGAAAGTTTTACTTCGTTAAAATATTTCTTTTAAAAATCTGTCACTGACCTCATGGAGAAGCTGGACTTTGGCTCAGTCTCATTCACTCTGATGTCACCAACCATCACCAAATAACTTGCACGCCCACAAGTGGGAGGGGTGAGAGAGCAAATCCTCCACAGCTCGAGGGTCAGCCCCAAGGCCAAAATCTCAGAGCGCCCCGCTGGCGCCTTTCGCTTCAGACGCTCAGGCTCCTGGTGCACAGGACTGAAGCTTCCAGACACCTCGAATCAGTGCAGCCACTTGGTGCTCCCGCAGCGGATCTGGCATGGAGGCCGCCCTGATCCTGGAGC